AAACCAGTATATTATTGGGAAAGTCAACACCAATATTGCTTATTATAACCTTGCCCCAACTTTGTTTCTGCTACATGCCTAGGGAACATCATTTACCCAGTGGAGCCCCTTAGCAATGCCAGCGTATGAACAATGAGACGGCTGATGTCATTCACTGGTATCTCCCTTCGGGCATCGCTAAAAGATGTATTGTCCTCTTGCATCATACTTGCTCTCAATTTAACACTTTGATACACTTTAGTCCGATTGGTAGGACTGTGGTGATTAGTAACAGCTATGCCTGACTTCATTTCTGCTCTCAGTCAAAGTTGAAGCTGTAGGTATAAATGTACCTACATTTCAAATCAACTTTGTGCAGCACAGATGATCTGTTTACAAAATCAGTAAAGCATATGGGGAAGCTACTGTATGGCACAGAAATGTGCATGGTAGATGAAGAGGAACTGCTAGTAGAAGGCAACAGATTAAGATTCAGAAGATAACAAGGGAGTATCACAACTGTGTAAAAATGACCTGGAGGACGGCATAAACTCAGAAGTCACAGTGTGCACTGATGACAAAAACAGGAAGCTGTGAACAGAAAAATCAATGCAAAATATCTCAACCATTAACGTTTATGGCAAGATGAATGAAGTAGGTAATGTTTAACCTAAGGTAATCGAATGGAAGACTCTAAATCACAGAGACTAATCTCAGACTGATAATTAATAGAGAACACAAGCCAGAAACAAAACTGAAGTTGGTAACAGTATTACCAAACCTCACGTTTCTATTGGGAGTCTTGCACTATTTTGGCATATTTCTGAAAGACTCAGCTCCTGGAGTCTTGTGAATACATGAGAATCTCAGCTTTCATTTTAAAAACATTTCTAGCCCAAGTGGCTGTGGAGAAAATGTGAATGTACCCTAATGGATCAGACCTAGAAAGTAAAAAAAAAAACCAACACCCCGATTTTTTTTTAATCTCACGCTTATTAAGCCAGTCGTATGATTTGGGAATACGTTACTCATAATTATTGAATACTTGAGGTTGGCAATAGTGCGGTAATATACGCTAAACTTGTATGCGCAACATTTGTTAGTAGTTATAAAAAGAAAATGAAGTCTTTTGCAGACAAATTCCTCCCTCGACTATTCCCATGTAAACCTTCTGAAGTTTCACAGCTGCACCAGAGGGGAAATTATGACTTTTGAAGGGTATGTAGGTATTTAATATAATGGCAGACAATATTCTGAAAGGAACTGACTAGGATTTAAATATACAGTTTTCCAGCATGCACAAAAGGGTATATGTACATATATGTATATACACACACACACTTTTATGCCTATATACATATAAAGGCATAAAAAAGTGTGTGTATATACACACATGGCATTAAAAAGTTAAACAAAGATTGGGAGAACGTTTCATAGGAATAGAGGTAAACACTTGAATACTGGGAGTCTGCAGAAGTCCAACGCAATGCTTTGCCAACTGGAGCAGATGAATATGCAATTGTGGTAGGCTGGATGAGGGTTATATATATCCAAAGTATGCTCATCCAAGGAGGGGCTGATGCATCTGTTGTATTTGTTTAATTAATGTTTGTAAATCATAGAAATCCTCAGATGATTAAAAACACCTCATGAAGGCCAGCTAAAAATGGTAATTTCTGAGCTGTTTCAGCACCAAAGAGGGAGCATTAGGACGTAAGCAACTCTGAGCAAAATTCACATCTGTGCAGAGGGTTTAAGTGATGCTTAGGAACTCGGAATATTGGTTGATCATAGGACGACTATGAGCCACCAATGTGATATGGCCATGAAAAAAGCTAATGCGGTCTTGGGATGCATCAGGTGAGGTATTTCCAGTAGAGATAAGGAGTTTAGACTTGAAATTAGAGAAAAGTTTCTAACCATCAGAGGAGTGAAGTTCTGGAACAGCCTTCCAAGGGGAGCAATGGAGGAAAAAGACATATCTGGCTTCAAGACTAAGGGTATGTCTTCACTACCCGCCGGATCAGTGGGTAGTGATCGATCTATCGGGGATTGATTTATCATCTAGATGCGATGAATTGATGCCTATACTTCACCCCGGCAGGAGGAGTAAGCGGAGTTGACGGGGGAGCTGCCACGGTTGACTCGCTGCCGTGAGATGGCCAGGAAGTCAAAGTGTCTTAGTTCGACTTACGGCTACATGAAGAGCATAGCTGAAGTTGTGTATCTTAGTTCGAACCCCCCCGCCCAGTGTAGCCCAGGCCTAAGCTTGATAAGTTTATGGAGGGGATAGTATGATGGGATAGCCTAATTTTGGCAATTAATTGATCTTTGACTATTAGCGGTAAATATGCCCATTGGCCTGTGATGGGATGTTAGATGGGGTGGGATCTGAGTTACTACAGAGAATTCTTTCCTGGGTATCTGGCTGGCAAATCTTGTCCACATGCTCAGGGTTTAGCTGATCACCATATTTGGGATCAGGAAGGAATTTTCCTCCAGGGCAGACTGGAAGAGGCCCTGGGGTTTTTTTTCGCCTTCCTCTGCAGCATGTGGCACGGGTCACTTGCTGGAGGATTCTCTGCTCCTTGAAGTCTTTAAACCACAATTTGAGGACTTCAATAGCTCAGACATAGGTTAGGGGTTTGTTACAAGAGTGGGTGGGTGAGATTCTGTGGCCTGCGTTGTGCTGGAGGTCAGACTAGATTATCATAATGGTCCCTTCTGACCTTAAAGTCTATGATTCTATAATTCTGGCCCTCTACACAGGGTGAATTTCTTTTGATGGATAAAGTGGCAAGGTAAGTACAATGCCAGGAGTCTGAGTCTCCCATGTTTCAACAGGAGTTCTTCATATGCATCAGGAGACTACAGCCACACAGGTATAAATAACAAGCCCTGTAATAGGTGCCTATTGTTAGTGGCATTACCAACCCTAAGCATTGAAAAATCATCAATTAGGCCCCAAACGTTCATGAAAGTGGCTAAAAATGAAGAGGTTTTTAAAAGAATAATTTGGGGGTTCTTCTTATTTGCCTTCTTGGTTTTGAGCCTTTACTGTGCATTCACTTAATTTTTCAAGATTTTCTCAGCAACCATGGGGGCTAGAAACTTACTTTTTTCAGATGAAAACTGAGATTCTCACATATTCTCTTGATTTCAGCAGCTGAGATTTTAAGAAAAACAATAAAACTTGTGGGACTAACAATAAAATTGCAAAAACTGGCAACACTGCCTTATGTGTACATGTGTACTAAGGTGAACACTAAGCCAGCCTCAGAACACCCAGTGACACATTGTAGGTGAACAGCATGACATCCATTTTATACTTGGGTAAGCTAAATCACAGAGAAGTTAAAAGATCATGTATTAAAGATATAGCCCTGCATTAAGAATGGGGAAAGCTAAGAGATCTGGAAGAGTAATCAGGAATTCTCCTGGCGAAGCACAAAAAGCAATGGCAGATCCACAATCCTTTAAATGGGTACAGCATATGGTGACCCCCTGGTCCAGATTACTATACTGGCAGATGCAAGTGCATGTCTTTCCTCACCACCTGTAAGGAGGCTAGTACTGAAGGCTAATACAGAGCAGTGGTTTCACTCCCCAGCCAGCCACTGGCACTCAAATCAGGTACAACTGGAGTGGGATGAAGGCTGCTTGTGCTCTCTCCCCTCACTCCTAGATGGCCAATCACAATCTGGCTTTAACTGACTTGTCCCAGGCTACACTAAGAGTCAGTGTGAAGATGAGAGAACCCAAGTGACCCATCTCCCAGTCCACTGTTCCATCCTTTAGACCCCACTTCAAGGTATGCCTGTTTCTAGATTTAACACTAGGAAAGGCAAGGGAGTCAACACACTTCGGGCTTGTCTTCACTACTGGGGTATGTCGACCTAAGTTACGCTACTCCAGCCACATGAACAACATAGCTGGATTCAAGATAGCCTAGGTTGACTTACCCCAGTGTCTTACCGCACTGCATTGATGGGAGATGCTCTCGGAGAACTGGAATACCGGGGTCAACTGGAGAGCAGCAGCATAAATCTCCCTGGTAGTGAAGACAAGCCCTTGGAGTGCTCCATGCAAATCTGGTCAGCATCTCTTAGGAAGGGCATTGTTGAGATTGAAAACGGCAACAGAAGGCTACTCTGAAATGAATCAGGGTTTTGTGGGTATGAGTTACAAGAAGCAATTAGCCAGACTTGGCCTATTTAGAACACAGAACAGGAAAGGAAAAGGAAAAGATCACTGCCAATGAGCAGTTTGAAATAGCAACTACTTGCAATTCAAAACATAAGGGATCACGGGATTAGAACAGAGGGCTGACTTCTTATAAGAAGTTCAAGGTGAATTTCATTTACACTGAAGGTGGTTGAAATATGGAATAAAATGGCCAGTCAGCAGTAGAATAAACACACTGTGAAGCTTCAGCAGACACATGAACACACTGTTGGCAGAGGAAAATCAGGGGCTACCATCACGGGAAGACATGAGAGTTAAAAAGATGAGACGATAAAGGCTAAGTGATTTACTTAGAGATACATCTTATATGACCCAACTTTCATGGGGTGTCTGTCTCAAAACACATCTTCCCAATGGATGATGTACAAATTTTATAACAAAATAAGTTACCTTAGAGGATCCAGTATTCAGTCAGTGTTTCAAGATTACTAATGACTGTAGAGTACTACCATCTTCATGTCATGAACAGTCATGTGCACTTAGAGGAATATTTTCCAACCTATTTATCTTTTGATTTGCCATTTGGCCCAGGTCCCTAATGTGTCAATCAATACTATAAACGTCTTCCCTATGCCAACTAACTAATGAGTTGATTTTCTATCATGAAGTCACCAGCCCTCATTCAGCATATGTCAAATCCTGTACATATCAGGCTGACACTGCCCCTACATTTATAAGCAGCAAAAACAACAACAGTAAAAACATGCATCAGTAAAACATGAAGACTCAAAAAGAATGATAAATAAGTAGAAGAGAGAGATCGAATTAGTACTCACCACCAGGGCTTTCGATCTATTACTCAGTAGTTTTTCAATATCTGTGGCCGCCATTTCCACCAATTTACGTGCATTGTTGGCTTCCACTGTATACAGATTGTTGTGTTTCGTATAAATCTGCATGAGAAAAGGAAATCATTCAGAACTAGCACATGGGCCTCTTTATTTACATTGTAATAACAGCACAGTAGCCTAGTGGATTGAATACAGGACTGTGAGACAGGAACTCTTCAGTTATTATCCATTTCTCAAAAACCTACGTTAAGCTGGGCAAGCCACAGCCTCTCTGCTTGAAAATTGTGTCCCCATTGATTTGGGGATTATGAGGGCATAATGTAGGGCTGAATTTATTATCATTACTGTTAATATTAACACTCAGCACTCCTGGGGCTATTATGATAATTATTACTAATTATTTGCATTGCAATAAAGCCTAAAGGATCAAAGATCAGAGCCACACTGTGCTAGTCACTGTGCACACATATAATGAACAGACAGTTCCTACCCCAGGGAGCTTTGGATTTCTAAGTTTCAGTTTCCCTGTCTCTAGAAAGGATATTGTAGTTACCTCACTACTACCCATCTCACAAGGATGGCTGAAGGATTAGTGCCTCTGTTAGTCTTTGGCGATCTAAAGTACTATGGGATCAATTCTGCAAGGAGATGAGCAGATCAAAATCAGCAGATTTAACAGTCCTCCACATCTGCAAGCAATGCTCTGCTCCTTTCAGGATTGAGCCTTAAAAATGATGGCTCTCATTTTCAAAAATGGTTAAATGGTTCTGGGTGCCTCCAGTTTTTTGTTTTGTTTTGTTTGGGGGTGGGGGGGGTAAGATACTTGACCTGAGATCTTAAAGGCCCCTGACTTTCACAAAGTGCTGAGCATCCCCTATCTGAAAATCAAATGCCTATAAAAGTACCTGAAGTTGAGCCCAGAAATCACTGATATATTGTATTCTTCCTAAAAGATTAAGAGACAGATACTCAAGGTGAATCAGTGTACCACTACTGAAGTAAACATATTTATGCTGATTTCCACCTCCTGATAATCTAGACACTTATTTACCTTTATTTTAGTAAGGTATATCGTTCACCTAGGGGTTTGTTTGTTGCTTTAATATTGTCCTTACTTCCATGATTTAAAATTCACCATGTTGAGGGAGTACCTAGTTCTGTTATTCTGTGGTGTTTCTAAGGGGGATAACTACCAAAAAACAGAGAGGAGTGGGGTTTGCTTCTGTTTTTTAAAGGACACCCCCTTCTTCCTACACAACATCCTTAAAGGGAGAGAAAAACCCTAACAATAATCTGGAAAAAGAAAGAGTATGTACCTTATGGCTAGATAGTGAATGGGGAAAACTAATTTATGCAACCAACAGATGGTCTGAGGTCACACAAGTGCTTTGCCTCTCTGAAACATTGCCTGATAGGGGTTATAATGTCTTGTGGGAAGTAATTCTAGGCGCACACACACAGGAACAGGTCCAACACTAATTCACTGGCCGAGCTCCAGCAGAAAGAGCTCAGAAACTATCCAGCAGACAAATTCTACCAGCTGTGCCAGGGTTCTCAGGGTATAGTTGTATGGTGGCTTTAAAGGGACACACCAATATAGGGATCTGCCGCTTGCAGCTGGTGGATTTTGAATATTGCCAGGTCTGACATCATTCTCATGAATGAAACCAGTCATGTCTGATAATTCATGTGAATGACAGAACTGACAAGACTTATCATTAGTTTCAATCAGTTTTGATTTCCAGAACACTGGATTATATACTTTTTTTTTAATCATAAACTTTTTCTCCCTCAAAACTGATTTAAAAAGAAAAGTGTTTTAATTCTTGCTTTTGGGAAGATATCTCCCAAACACCTATAGAAAATCCACCACTGAAGCCTAGGATTACATAAGATCTCACAAGCAAATATAAGTCCACTGTGCTGCAAAAAGCGGTGATTCAGACATGGATGCTTCTTGCTCAGATGATAGGCAGCCAATGCTCCAGTGAGGGGCAAGAGGAGCACACTAAAGATCTCATGACTCATTTTGCAAATCTTAGTGTCTTGGTCGAATTCCAGCATGGCTAATTATCTCATGCCTTCCTAAAGTTCCCACTGCAAGTCCAAAACCAAATTAGACATCATGGACAAGATAGTCAGATGGCAAAGCATGTACAATTAGAGACAGATTTTATAAGGTGCTCAGGTCCTAGTTAGTCATCTAAATAAAGGCTGGATTTTCAAAGCTACTCATCAACCAAAAGAGACATCATCCAGCCAATGTCTTCTGAAAATCTGGCCCTATTTTTGTAATGACAAATGTATATTTAGTTACATTAGACAGGATTACAAAACCATAGAAGGGATATATGCTTCAGGGCATAAACCAACTATTAATTGATCGGGGTTAGATAGAACATGTTAAAAAATATAGAATTTAGATAAGTTAGATGCATTCAAGTTGGCAAGGACTGATGAAATTCACACTAGGGTACTTAAGGAACTAGCTGAAGCAATCTCAGAACCATCAGCAATTATCTTTGAGAACTCAAGGAGGGGAAGGGCAGGTCCCAGAGGACTGGAAAAGGGGCAAACATCATACCTAGCCTTAAAAAGGGGAACAAAGAGGACCTGGGCAATTATAGACCAGTCAGCCTAACTTCAATAACTGGAGAGATACTGGAACGAATTATTAAACAATCAGTTTGCCAGCACTGAGAGGGTAAGAGGATTATATTATAAGCAATAGCCAACATGGATTTGTAAAGAAAAAATCATGCCAAACCAACCTAATTTCCTTCTTTGAAAGGAAAAGGAGTACTTGTGGCACCTTAGAGACTAACAAACTTATTTGAGCTTTCGAACAAACTTTCGTGAGCTACAGCTCACTTCATCGGATGCATTCAGTGGAAAATACAGTGCGGAGATTTATATACATAGAGAACATGAAACAATGGGTGTTACCATACACACTGTAACCAGAGTGATCACTTAAGGTGAGCTATTACGGGGGGCGGGGGGGAAGGACCTTTTGTAGTGATAATCAAGGTGGGCCATTTCCAGCAGTTGACAAGAACATCTGAGGAACAGTGGGGGGGGGGGGAATAAACATGGGGAAATAGTTTTACTTTGTGTAATGACCCATCCACTCCCAGTCTCTATTCAAGCCTAAATTAATTGTATCCCGTTTGCAAATTAATTCCAATTCAGCAGTCTCTCGTGGGTTACTTGCCTAGTGGATAGGAGAAAGCAGATCTGATATGCCTCTATTTTTTTGGGAAGGCTTTTGACAGAGTCCTCCATAACATTTTCATAAGTATCAGAGAGGTAGCCGTGTTTGTCTGTATCCACAAAAACATCTGATGCATCTGAAGAAGTGGGTTTTTTACCCATGAAAGCTTATGCCCAAATAAAAATGTTAGTCTTTAAGAGACCACCGGAATCCTCGTTATTTTCACAAGCAAACTCGGGAAATGTGGCCTCAATGAAATTACTGTAAGGTGCACAACTGGTTGAAAGACCATACTCAAAGAGTAATTAACAATGCTTCACTGTCAAACTGTGTGTGGCGGGGGAGGGGGAAGGGAGATGTATCTAGCGGGGTCCTTCAGTGGTCTGTCCTGGGGTTTGGTTCTATTCAATATTTTCTTTAATGACTTGGATAATGGAGTAGAGAATATGTTTATAAAAATTGTGGATGATACCAAACTGGAAGGAGTTGCAAGCACTTTAGAGGACAGGATTAGAATTCAAAAGGACCATAATAAATTGGACAACTGGATGGACAACATCCATCAACAAGATGGAACTCAGTAAAGACAAGTACAAAGTATTGCACGTAGGAAGGAAAAAATCAAATATAAAATGTGGAATAACTGGCGAGGCAGTCATACTGCAGAAAAACCTCTAAGGGTTATAGTGGATCACAAATTGAATGAGAGCCAATAATATGATGTATTTGCAAAAAAAAAACGCTAGTATCATTCTGGGGTGTATTAACAGGAGTGTCATATGTAAGACATGGAGGTAACTGTTCCACTCTATTCGGCACTAGTGAGACCTCAGCAGGCGTAGTGTCCACTTTTAGGAACCACACTTTAAGAAAGATGTGAACAAACAGGAAAGAGTCCAGAGGAGAGCAACAAAAATGATATAAGGTTTAGAAATTTGACCTATGGGAGAAGTTTAAAAAAACCTCTAGGCATGTTTATTCTTGAGAAAAGAAGACGGTCTTCAAATACGTTAAAGGCTGTTATAAAGAGGAGGGTGATCAATTGTTCTCCATGTCCACTGAATGTAAGTTAATAAGTAACAAGCTTAATCTGCAACAAAGGAGATTTAGCAAAAAGAAAAGGAGTACTGTGGCACCTTAGAGACTAACCAATTTATTTGAGCATAAGCTTTTGTGAGCTACAGCTCACTTCATCGGATGCATACTGTGGAAAACACAGAAGATGTTTGTTTTTATACACAGAAATCATGAAAAAATGGGTGTTTATCACTACAAAAGGTTTTCTCTCCCCCCACCCCCTCTCCTGCTGGTAATAGCTTATGTAAAGTGATCATTCTCCTTACAATGTGTATGATAATCAAGGTGGGCCATTTCCAGCACAAATCCAGGTTTTCTCCCCTCCCCCACAACAAACCCACTCTCCTGTTGGTAATAGAATCTAGAATATCAGGTGAAAGTGACCTCAGGAGGTCTCTAGTCCCCTGCTCAAGAGGACCACCCAATGTGTGCCCAAATGGCCCCAGATTGAACCCTCAACCCTGGGTTTAGAGGCCACCACAGCTATCCCTCCCCCTGGTAAACTATCAAAGTGATCACTCTCCTTACAATGTGTATGCACAAATCCAGGGTTTAACAAGAACGTCTGGGGGGGGGGGGGTTAGGAAAACAAGGGGAAATAGGTTATCCTGCATAATGACTTAGCCACTCCCAGTCTCTATTCAAGCCTAAGTTAATTATATCCAATTTGCAAATGAATTCCAATTCAGCAGTCTCTCCCTGGAGTCTGGATTTGAAGTTTTTCTGTTGTAATATCGCAACTTTCATGTCTGTAATCACGTGACCAGAGAGATTGAAGTGGTCTCCGACTGGTTTATGAATGTTATAATTC